CAGAATAATGTAATGTTTAGGCTGCTGGCAGCATTTTGGAGACTATGAAAGATGCACAAACATGGAAACAAGATAGTGGTGACCTGGGGCAATAAACTCTACTTGTATAGCCAAGGATGATCTTGTGCAGAGTCCTGGCAAGAAGGTAGACACAACAGGTCATTCTTAGATGGAGTAAAGGACGACTAACATCTAGACTTCAGTTTGATTCAGAAACCATGTCCCTATCAGCAGACAGCCATGCCCTGGGGAGCACCAGCCCCCTGCCATACACTTAGATAATGGAGAGAGGGTTTTGTGGTCACATGTGGTAGTTCCCAAGACTCAGATCCCCCCTCATGACTCTCCTTCAGTCCAGTCCAGTGACAAGTGAGGGACTCTAAGCTCAAGGACCCAAGGTCTCAGCTCAGTCCTACTCCTGAGCCCTCTTCTGGTTGTCTCCTGACCTGGTGCCCAGGACACTCCCCTCCCCACTTCCTGCAGTAATCCTGAGTGCCTGCCGTTTGTGACGAGGCCCAGCTGTCACTCACACTAATTTTCAAAGTGCTCAGATTTGGTTCTCTCCCTTCTACAAACCCATTTCAGAACAAAGGAACCAGATTTTAACAGTAAGGAGGCTGCTATGCCAATTGTCAGACTCCAGCTTGCTTCGGTCTGATAGACTGCATGGAGTTAAAATCCTGGGGAAGGAATTAGGCTCAAACTGGAGTGGAGAGGTGTGGGGAAGGCTTGTACCCCCGTTATGCCGCAGCATCAGGGTAGTCTGCAATGCCCTTCCAGGTGTGGAGCCCTGAAAATATCCCTGGTTATTCTTCTTTCAGCCATTATGTACTTCTGATGTACCTATTTCTGTCCTACTGTCAGGCCATGTGCCATGATTTCTGTCCACTCAGTCAGAAGAAGGCCCCAGGGCACTTTGGTTTGAAAACTGGCTGTATCTGATGAGGCTTTGCTAAAACACCCTCAGAAGCAGAGTCCTTCTCCTATTGCCTCCTGGGGGGAGATTTGGGCCTCTGTGGCAGAGGAGACTAGAAAGGAGGTAGAGAAACTGGGTTTTCGGAGGCTGCCACGCCCATCTTGTATATATGTGCAACCATTATTCAGAGGGGATCCTGAGTCAAGGCATGGGGACAGAGACCCCAAACAGATATTGGCTTCCAAAAATGCTTGAATAACCCCATCCCTCAGTGCATTAGGAGTCAGAGTATTGTTGGAAGTAACCTGAATCTCTGGTCCAAGTGCTTTTCTAGGTGTTCAAAGGTCTGAATGAGTGGAACATCAGGCCAATTAGAGGGCAGAAGCCAGTGGCACAGGGTGTCTGTCCCTGGTGGCTGAAGCTGGAGGAGAGACTGCTGGTACTGCTGCTGCTTGGGGTGGGGTGAGGGTGACAGTGGGGGTGAGGGTGGCAGTGGGGGTGAGAGGTGGTGGGAGTAAGGGGTGGGGGAGGTGGTTGTATTGGCAGAAGACTAGGTAGGTGGTATTCATGTTGAACTGAGGCAATGGAAGGGTTAGATTAAATCAGTGGTCTTCAAGGGAGGTGTAAAATAATCCTTTGAAATGTGAAAGAAAAATTAAAACTTTTATTTTTACTTTTTATTTAGTCTAAAAATAAAAATAAAAACCTTCACCAGTGTTTGCTATCATACATCTTACCCTTACTCACCTCATGCATTGGGTGTCCATGTCATGCATCACATTGGAGGCATAGTCAGTGAAGAGGAAGTTCTACAACATGGGGGACCGAGAAGGAGACCATGCCACCTTCCTCAGCCTAGTTGCTTTCAAAGTGTATTGCTAGATGCTAAATGCTCATAAATCTCTTTTGAGGCTTCTTACTTAATAGTAAAAGACAAAATATCAGTTAATATCATTGGAAAAAACAGCTGTTCTATTTGTCATGGTTAAAGTGACTGAGTTAATACAGAGAGAAGATGGCAACACATAAAAATGTATTCTGTTGGAAGACACACAGACTTTAAGTTTAAGAACAGGTTTTAGCACACATGGTGTGTTGTGCAGGTTGGCTATATGGTTGGATGCAAGTTGCTAACACGTTTCACTTTGAGTCTTTGCTATGTGTTTTGATAATGACATTCATAAAGAAATACTTTTTGTGCCTTACTAAAGGGAAGATAGATATGTTCTCGACAGAGAACAACTTATTTAGCAAAACATGCTGTGATTTTTATGGGTAAAAGTAAACCACTGAGGGAGTGTCTGCCCTCTCTGGAATATAAAATGGGGGTGGTTCATGTTTTGTATGACCAGCAAGACATGTAAATGCTATAAACTCAGCAAGACATGTAAATGTTTTCTTCTACCACTTGTCTCTTTTATGAGAAGAGTTTAGTGAAAACCAGATAACATAATTTGTCCATCTACTTCCCAGGATACAAATAGTTCATTAAGGCCTAGTAATACACTTTGAAGGCAAGGGTGCCACGGTTCCCTTCTTCGTCCCCCTTGTTGCAGACCCTCCTCTTGTCCCCGACTACACCTCTGATAAGACACATGACATGGACACCTGATGCATGAATTGAGTAAGGGTTCCATATAGTTAATATTGGTGAATATTAATTTCTTTGTTTTTAGACTAAAAAATAAGTAGAAATAAAAGTTTTTTTCTTTCACATTTCAATGGATCATTCTACACATTCTACTTTTTGAAGACTGATTTAATATAACCCTTCCATTGCTTTAGTTCAACATGAATACCACCTAACAACTCTTCTGCCTAAACAGTCACCTTCCCACCCCTCACCCCCTCCACCTCTCATCCCCACTGCCACCTTCACCCCACCCCAAGCAGCAGCAACACCACCAATCTCTCCTCCAGAACTGGGGGTGGTCCATGTTCTGGTCCATGGGGACTACATGTGAAATTCAGCAATCATATTATTCATTTACAAACTACAACAGGAAGTTGAAGCAAGAGCACAAAATACTATAGGATGTCAATGATATGGTTGATTAAAAAATTAAAATATAGTAGAATCTTTATAGCACTTGGTATTGAGTTGTGGAATGAGACTAAACATCTTTTTTATAATTCAAAGGTTTACTGATCATCCCAAGGCAAACAACTTGAATGTTGCGAATTTAAAGATGAGTTTCTTTAACAAAGAACAAGGGCTCCAGATTTGCTGACCTCTGATGTGTTGGCCTGCGATTGTCACAAGTGTGCTACATAGCAGAAAGAAACACACACACACACACACACACACACACACGTGTCTTTTTGGGTAAAGGTGATATTTCAGTAATGAACTGACATAACAAATGTGGTTTAGAAGAATTGTGTTATGGGGAAAGCATTTTGAAAATTGACATTTGGAACTGTTTCCATTATCATGTGATTTTAATGACAAAACAAAGCATGCCAGTGTCACCTATATTCCAATAGGAACAATCTGCAAAATATAGAAGCATACTTCTAAATACATTTTACAGTATTCCAAATGTAGAGTTTCAAGTGTTTTAAAAGTTCCATTTGTTAAAAAGATTTGCAAGAACAGCTGAGGAAAACATTGAGAATGTTGTTTTCATGGACAAAGAAGAGTTTTCACATTTGCAAAACTGGTAGATCAAATCTAAACAGTAAGAATTATGATTTAATAAGTACAAAGATATAGTTCTTCTATTCAGTTCCTTTTAATCTTTGTGAGTTATCTTTTTCTTTTTCTATTTCTTTCTTTCTATCTTTTAAATAAGAATAGCCAGTAGGATCAAGTACTGACATTAACTGAACTTACAAGTACACTTTCTGGTGTCATAAAGTATTAAACTAAGATTTATTTAAATCATTGTTAATCATGTTGCTCTCCCTAAACAGATTATTGCTAATAACTTTAAAGTGAAAGGAAAAAGGAATATGGTACCAGTCATAAAAATGAAGCCATTTAAAGTTATTCTTTCATCTTGACCACATCCTCTAATTTTTGTAGTGTTCTTTATAATATATAACTCATTAATGCAGTCTCACATGCATTACGCTTATAAATACATGAATTGTAAGTATCAGACTATGGGGTAGAAGGAATAAAACTTGGTGGTTACATGAGACAAGAGACAACTCTGTGAACGTGGTTGACATAGTGAGGACACACAGTGGGTGCTCGGCTAATGAAGTTTCCTCTCCCAGCTTGGTGACTTACTTGGTGAGAGAGTCAAGAATGGTCCACCATCTGTGGCCTGGCATATGGGTGCGGGTGGTATCATTCAATAAGACTGGAAACACAGAAGCAGGTTCTGGTGTTTTCCCGGGAAGCAATGAGGAGTTTGGGCTGGACAGCTTCTAGGAAGCTCTAGAGGAGATGCTCCCTAGGCAGTTAGATTCCCCATCTTCAGCAGCCAGGGGGCATTCTGGGCTGGAGATGAAGTTCAAGAGTCATCATCAGGCAGGAGGTTGTTAAAACCATAGGAGTGGCTGAGATGCCCAGAGCGGCCTCGGAGTGGGAGAGGGGGCTGGCAGGGTGGGACCCTGGGTAGGACCACAGAGAAAAGCCAGGCCACAGAGGCTGATAAGCTGTAGGTACCCAAGTATGCAAAAAATTCGGAGGTGGGGGCCGTGGGTGCCAACTCTGGAAATTGTGCACTCCAAGCTTTCCAGGAAGGAAGACGTGGTCAGCAGGCTCAGATGCTGGGAAGAGGTGAGCGAGGGAGGCTGCACGGCACCCAGTGGCTTTGGCAACTAGGAGGTCATTCGGGACTTTGAGGGGTGGGTGAAGGCAGAGCGCGGAGTGTTGGAGAGGGAGCGTGTGCGTGTGGTGTTTGCATGTAGTGTGTGTGTGTGTGTGTGTGTGTGTGTGTGTGTGTGTGTGTGTAGGATCCAAGTGACCAGAAGGACGCCTGGAAGAAAACCGATGCTTGCGGGTTGCTGCATCTACAGGAGGTAAGTCACTTGTGAGGGGCCGAGACCCCTAGAGTCTCGTCCCGGGAAAAGTTCTGCGGAGAGGGGAGGACGTCGGGCCAGCCCGGGCGGCTGTGTGGGAGCCCGGCGCAGTTGAGGTCCGGGGAGCCCGGCTGGCATCTGCCCCGGGCTGCGGCGCGGGCCCCGCGGAGCCCAGGCGGCGGCGGGCGCTTCCGGCCAAGGGCCCTGGCGGCAGCCGCGCCCCTGCTGCTCTCAAGTTTCGCGTTGGCCGCGCGGCCTGGGAGCTTCAGGTAGCGGTTGGCAGGCCGGCGCCCCTAGGCTCTCTCCGCTCCGCGCCCAGGTAGGGCACCGACGGGGGCTGCGCGCGGCTGGCCGGCTTCCTCCCTGCGGAGGCGGCCCTCCCTCCCACTGCGGGGCCCGCCGGGTCGGGGCTCCGCAGCGCTGCGCCCTCGGAACGCCCGGCCCCCGCGCCTGCTGCGGGTCGCGGCCAGGCCCAGCCCCGGCCCTGGCTGGCCTCGGTGTCCGGCAGCCCCTCTCCGCCCTGCCCAGCGCGTCACCTTTGCTCCAGCCCTGCGGCCGGGGCGCCCCTTTCGGGCCGCGGCGCCCCCTTCGGACCGCGGCATGGCCCTGTCCTCCGAACCCGGTGAGTGAGCGCGAGGCTGCGCTGCTGACCTTGGGCTAGCCCCGCGGACCCTGCGGCCCAAGCGGGAATCAGCAGCGCTCTGGGGTCTGAACCGTGGCTCTCGCCTCCCGGCTTCCCTGCTCGCAGAGGACCTTGGCGCCAACCCCGGGCTCGTCCCTTGCCCAGTCTCCTGTCCCTGTCCCTGTCTCTGCCCCTGCGGTGGCCCGGGCTCCAGCGCCCTCAGGTGAGCCAGCAGCATCCCAATTCCCTGGCGGCCTAGAATGGAATCGCAAGGTTTCGAGAAATGAAGGGACCTGGGACTTTCTGCCCCTTAGGCGCCTGGGCAAGTTGCTAGGTGTTTGAGGACTGGCCAAATGTGAGCAGCTGAGGTGGAATTCTACCTGGAGGCTGGGGATGGATGGACTGGATGATAGGGTGATGAGATACTTTAAGTTCTTCATCCTTAACCTCTTTGGCTCTCTCCCGGCAAGGGAGGTGTACAGCTTTGGGCTCCTGCAGTCTCCTTTCTGCCCTTGATCTTCTGGTAGCTGCTTTGCCAGCAGAGCTGCTAATGGCTGGTCTAGGCTGGCAGAGGTCCCTGGGGAGAGTTTTGAGAGGCCTTGGAGTAGGAGAGGCTTGCTAACTAGAGTATCATTTCCCCAAACTGTATGTGGCTGAAAGCTTGATGGCAACACATTAGCAAAGGAGCTGGGTGAAAGCAGGCAGCACAAGGAGGGATTTTAGCATGGTCCTGAGCACTTGTTGGCTTTCCTTCTGGATGTGGTGACCAACATTTGGCCATCTTCATGGAAAAGCTGCCTGCAGCTGGAACCTGCAGCTGGAACCCTCAAAGGAGAAATTCTTTCCCTGGCTGTGCAGCATCAGTGCGGAGTGTTAGTGGAGCCATTGAGCCAGGCAGACAGAGCCTCTGTCACTTCGCACCTCTGGAAGTGTTGACAGCAGGTCTGGAGTAGTTGGCCTGGCCTGGCTGCAGCTCCATGGGGCCTGGCTTGCTCTGAAGATGATGGTATGGGGCTGCCCTCTGCAGGAATAATGACACTTGTATGGGTGGTTGCCGGGAGACTCTGACATCTCAGCTCCATCCTTAGCTCAGCCTGAGTCTTCTAAGGCTCTCCTACCTCTCAGCTGGGTCAAGAAGTTCTTTAAGAGATGAGGCTTGTTTTTTTTCTCCCCTACACTAGCTGGATCACTCTGCAAATGGTCTGAAAATCAATCTCAGCTCTTGAAAATGTCATGGGCAGGCAACATGTAGCCTTCAGATTAACAGGGAGATACCCTTTCTCCTCTAAAGCTGCTCGTTGGCCTCCATGATTCTTCCACCAGGTATAATCATCTCTTAGTTCTTCTGTATTCTGGTTGCATATCCATGACAACAGACAATTGCTTTGGGCTTTCGATTTGTAAGGAACTGACTAGGGCATGGGAGGCTGAGCTCATGGCTGGAGTCCTGGCTGTGCACAGTCACTGACAAGTACCCTTCATAGGGGAGCAGGATGTTCCTCCTTCTGATCTGGCTTCATATTTAAATATGTTTTCCTTCTTCCTGCACCCACGTAATAAAAACTTGGAAGAGTGCCAGGCACATGATGGTGCTCAATAAATAAGGCTGAATAAAAGGGTTCAGTGTCTGGATGAAATTTCATGTTCATTTTCCCAGTTGTACTCTCTCATATCTGATATCGTAATAATGATAACAATGATGTTGGCAGATCATACTTATAAAGCACATGCTCTGTGCCAGGTATCATTCTAAACACTTTATGTATGCTTGTTGTCATGGCAACTTTGAGATTGGCTTTTTATTATCCTCATTTCATAGGGAATAAAACTGAGCCACAGAAAATTTATTTAACTTGCCCAGGGTCATGCAACTAAGTGATAGAAAAGGATTCAAACCCAGGGAGTCTAGCTGGAGTCTACTTTTTTTTTTTTTTTTCTGTTGGAGATGGAGTCTCACTCTATCACCAAGGCTACAGTGCAGTGACACAATCTCAGCTCACTGCAACCTCCATCTCCCAGGTTCAAGTGATTCTCCTGCCTCAGCTTCCCTAGTATCTGGGATTACAGGTGCCCATTACCATGCCAGGGTAATTTTTGTGTTTTTACTAGAGACGGGGTTTCCCCATGTTGGCAAGGCTGGTTTCAAACTCCTGGCCTCAAATGATCTGCCCACCTTGGCCTCCTAAAGTGATAGGATTACAGGTGTGGGCCACCATGCTTGGCCCTACTCCATTTTTAACCCTACATGGTACTGATTTTTGAGATTGCCATAGGTGGATTGATCTATTGTAATTAGCTCATTCACTCATTCATTGTTTTAGGCATTCATTCATTCAACAAATACTTGTTGAATGTCCACCATGTTTCAGGTGTGGGAACACAATTGTGAATGAAACAGGCAAGATTTGTCATGGAGCTGATATTTAGCTGGTGAATTCCCTTTGTCCAACTCCTTGTATGGGTCACACACACCTCACAAATGAGAAGGAAAATGAATCCTTCTGGGCAAGCTCATGCCTGGCTTTTGGGGAGGAGAGTGATCTCTTTCTTGATGAGACATAATTTGATTCCAGCCTTTCCTGTTTTTTAGAGTTTGTAAGGAGCGCTTAAGCAATAAAAGGGAATGCAGTCTAGTCTCTTGGGCAGGAGAAGCAAGCCCTGTGTCTGGTTATCATAAATTGTCTTGGTGTTTGTTTGAAAGGGAAATAAGGCTTTGAGCTTGGGATCAGCGCTCTTCAGTTCACAGACACGTCTTGGCTGCAAGAAGCAGCAACAAGTTAGGCTCAAGGAGGAATTGTAAGGTCCTGAGAAGAACTTGTTCTTCTGAGACAGAGCTGTAGTTTTCTCCTAACCTGCCCATGTTCTGGAGGGTCTTCTCTCTCTTTGGTTCAGCAAGACCCTTGGTCATTGTTACAACCTGTGACATCTTAGTGGAGTTGCTGCTGGTTTCTGTCTGGACCTGATGGGTCTCACATGTGTAGCTGGGCTCCAGGAAAGCAGCTGTCTCTAAGTTGGAAAATGAAGACTCAAGGTGGAAGGTGTTTCCCAAAGCCCATGCCACGAGATACTAATAGGTGTGTTTTTCCTATGACAGCAGTTCTAGGGTGGTCAAATAAGTGTGTTGGGTTAAACAAAGTTAAGCAGCTTTCTTTACTGCAGGACTTCTCAGGTGTTGAATCTGCTAGTAGAAATTGTGCATGAATACTCATAAGGGACTATAGGATGCAGTGTTTTCCAAGCCTTCTGACCTTTCATGTTCTGCAGACTGCACTTTGAAAAATGCTTATTTAGACTAAGGCTAGCTGGGATCTGATTAAAGGTGCAGAATAAAATTCCCTGAATGTGTTGGACTTAAATCCTTGGGCTGGAATCCTCCCATTGCAGTCCCCACTCTACCTCCCCCTTCCTCAAAACACTAGCAGAAAAAAAATCATTTGCCCCTCCTCCTTCTGGAATAACAGTACTAAGGGCTTGGATTTTTTTCTCATGCTGTAAGTTCATTTAATTATTTAATGAGTAAGTATTGCCCTCCCTCTAGGTTGCTTGTAGCCTGCTGATTGCACTGTTTATGAAACAGCTGTGAGGACAGGTGGGTCGTAATCTCTGGGTAGCTAAAGCCCAGCAGCAGCCTGAGGATCATGTGTCAATCCTGTAATACTGCTCTGTGCACACAGGAATTATGATGTGGGCTCAGCAAGGCACAACCTCACGATTGGACATGAGGAGGTGACTCAGGCCCAAGTCAGGGTTACAGCTAGCCTCCCGGTAAACAACTGACCCATCCTTCCTGGGCTCCTCTCCCCAGGATTTCAACAGCACCACAGAAATAGCCATTTTGCTCACGGTTATTTCCCAGACCCACGCGATTTATCTAAGTCACTGGGAGGCCGTGGGTTTGTTCCAAGCCTTCTCACTCTCCTAAAGGGCAGATGAAGATCAGAGCTTTACACCCTGTGATGCCATTTTAATCAACCCTGCTTGATTTTAGAGGACTGCTCCTGTGGGTCACTTAAGGCAGGCTCCACCTTCCCCAGGAGGAGTGGCAGAATCCAGCCAGCGCTCCGAGCTGGAGGCCCACGTGGGAGCCGCCAGCGGCTGTAAGCAGGGGAAGGTTTGGGGTAGGCTCTGGTGGGTCAGTTGGGGTGTACTCCTTTTCTTTGTGTGTGGATGGGGGCGGGGGTTCTGGTAAAGCTTGTCAGGCTTCGCAGCCACCTGTGATGTGGGCTTCTTTCAGGGAAGAAAGGAAGGAGTGGGATGGGGCTGTCAGCTTTTCATCCTAGCCTGTCCCTTCTGCTGTCTGCCTCTGAGCTGAGGCAGTTCCCGCTCCCTGAGTCTCTGTCCTTCCCTCGGAAAGGTAGAAGCAACTCATGGTCCTTCCCTTCCAGAGGAGGAGAGGGAGGGGATTGTATTAGCAACTGGGATTGAAGCTTTCCCTGCCAGTTCTGGGGTGCCCTCGGAAGGGTTGCCTTAGGGGAGGCTTTCTGAGAAGAGGCAGGGTGGGCTGTGCCTGAGACAAATCCCCTTGATAAAATGAACCCAGTTGCCAGGCCAGGCCTGAAGTGGGTTCAGAACGGAAGCAGCAAAGGTGATGGTATCGCTCGTTGCTACTCAGCTTTCAGGAGGAGGCTGGGCGTTAGAGGGAGGCTGTGGCTTATCTCCTGCAGCTGGGTAGGATGGCTGAGTTTACTGTTGTAATGTGGAAGTCGCCGCCTTAGTTTCTTCTCGTGAGAGCTGTGAAGAGGGCCAGGACACTGTATTCAGGATGCCACAGCCATTTTGCCTTAGATAACTGGCATTACCTAGGGACTTCAGGGCTCCTGGAAATTTTCCACTTGTATTTCATATTCACAGAAGAATTTCCAGCCCAGGCTTTTCCTGCTCTGGCTCACTGCTGCTCACAGATATGCAAAACAGAGACCTCCCACCACAGCCGGCAGACAGAACCCAGCCAGCTGTAGGCACGCACTGACTCAGCTCAGCCTCCCGGGGCGGCAGGCAGC